TTTTTTTAACACAAGTGCTTCATGAAACACATGTGTGTTATATAATGTGTTTCTTTTACTAACAGAAGTGCCTCATGGAACCCACTTGGTCTATATATTTAGATTCTGTGTTTTTCTTTTCTGTGACTAAAACTTTATTGATGTTGAGTCACAGCCTCATGTTGAGCCGAACCTATATGTGGAGCAGCCACAGCCACAGCCTGATGATGTTGAGCAGCAACCCCAAAATTTCCCTTCTCATAAAGTAGTTGAAGAAGATCAAACTTCCCCTTTTCATGAAGAATATTATCAAACTTTTCCTTTTCATGAAGTAGTTGAAGAAGTGCGACAGTCACGTCAAGAAACAACGAGGAGGACGAAGAGGACGAAGAGGATGTTGAGCCACAACCTGATGATGGACTCAGTCTCGTTAAGAGCGACAGTCTCGTCAAGAGCGACAGTCTCGTGAAGACGAGGAGGACGAAGAGGACGAAGAGGAGGAGGAGGACGAAGAGGAAGAAGAGGATGTAGAGGAAGAAGAGGCGTTAGTAGAGAAACCAGCAGATAATAGGCGTAGTACTCGGGAAAAAATCCCAATAAACTATTTTTGACCGAGTGGAAAGCGTCCAGCACCACAGAGGTGCTGGAGGAATTGTGGTTTCACTTAGTATCACCATTCACACATACCTTTTTTTTTATTTAAAAATGTAAAAATGGAGTTGTGAGGATCATTCACATATACCTTTTTTTTAATATGTCCAAAACTACATGTTGGTTTTCTCACCATTCAAACATTCTCCCACACCGCTTGTTTTTTTATTAACTGCACTTGTTCCGCATAGTGCATTTCTCTCATATTAACCTTCTTTAAACCGTAGTTAAACTGCACCGCATCACTTAATCCGTTTGTTCTGCACCGCTCAATCCGCTGTCACAATTCAGAGCCAGTATGCGGAATATGTGCGGATATAGTAGTGCGGATAATTTATGAATGATGAAAAATAATATGCGGTGCGGTACAAATATTTGAATGGTGATGAGTAAAACAAACGGTTCGGTATATATATTTTAAATAAATATATTATAAATAAAACTTAATTAATGATAATAGTGTAATTGTAAATTAAAATTGTTATGTTTTATTTATATTGTTAATAAAACATTTTTACATATTATTTACGATTAAAAATAAAAAATAAATATTATTAGGAACTAAAAAAATAAATATTTTAAATTGGAAATTTTTTTAAAAATACATTTGTTTTATAAAATGTAGTGAAACAATAAATATTAAAAAAACCAACCAAAATAATACAATTCAAAATATTATTATCGTGTATGTTGATTTTTCCATACATATATGTAATATTGTCCTTTATTTGTGTCATATATTTTATATCTGCTACTTAAGTTGCTTCCATGTTATCTAAATCAGGCTCCCAATCGGTGTTGTTTATTTCAGGTTTTATCATTACTTCTGCAAAATCTGCATCTGAAAATTTTGAAATCTTGATGAAATTGCGTAATCTCATTGTCGCCATTACCACTCTCTTTTGTGCATGAATACTATATCTTGGAAATCACAAAGAATTCTTTTTTTTTTCTAAACTCCAAAATTCCCCTCGATAATAAATCATAATGAAACATGACATCGATTAAATAATTAATTATAAAAAATTTTATAACTACATAAATTTAATTAGTTATTTAATTATAAACATTTAAGAAATTAATATTAATTTTTATTATATTGTCACCTAAAAAGACTAATTTCATTAATTTTAATATTTAAAAATAAAATAATTTGATAAATAAAATATTTGAAATTTAACTAATTTAGAATTGAAAACAAGTAAAGAATCGAAAACAATTAAATATTTTTTACCATTAAAAGTGAAAGGTTGTGTATAGAAGTATGAGATTTATAAGTGAAGTGCTGTAGATGGAAGTTTTTTTAGTGTATGAATGAATAGAGTGCATGTATGTCTTTATATAGAGAATCCTGTGTTTTTTTAATTTACGGATAAAAAATAATATATAAATCAGATCCACTAAATAAATCATAGCCCATAAGTTTTTCCAGAAAAAATTAAGAAACGCACCTTACTTTTAGTCATAGGCCATAGACAGTGAATAAAAAAATGGATTTTCTATTATATATAGATTTTGCTAAATATGCAACACCAAAAAAGTGGATTTTCTATTATATATAGTCTCGTCATTCAAGACATAGTTAGATGACGAGACTAGAAACCACACTTACATAAGCAATGATTGGAGACATAAAAAGCATAATTGAGAAAAAAAAAAGTAAAAACCACTTTTTGTCATCAATCAACAAAAATATTAATAATTTTCAGCTTTTTAGGCTAAAAGAAAAAATATTGCGGATTTTAGACTGGATAATACATTGGACCGTAGTTGTACATGACATCATATCTAGAATTTGTTTCCAAATGACATCATATCTAGAATTTGTTTCCAAATCCGCAAAGCCCAATGGGTAATATTTTTTTCACTTTTATTTTGATTTTTAAATTTACTAACATTTGCTAGATATAAATTATAATTTTTTACATGACATCAATGTTTTCACTTATCTAAAATTCTGCTGGACACATCAGCAAAAAATCGTTATTTGAAAACTCTCTCTACTTCTCAGCCGCCGACAAAAAATTCTCGTTGTGATGCTGGAGAGCGGCGGTTTCTTTAGCACCGGCTCTAGTGTCTCCCATGTTTCCTTAATTTCTTTTGTTTTCTCATTGGATCTTACTTTGCAGGTGGTGTATAGATGTAACTCTTCTCGTGTCGGTGGTTGCGGCCGTTTCTTCCTTTAACAGTGTGGCTCGTCAGAGAGATCGCAGTGGTAGATTAGTTTTGTATTATCTCGCTTGAGAAGATGTTGTGGTGGTTCTGTGGTGATCCATAGAAATTTGAGACGGTTTTTGCCGTACTGGTTCATGGTTTTGGCTTATTGGTGCTAAGGAGAATTCTCGTGACTCGGGTTTAACATTTGATCGTTCCGGTCTTTGAAGGTGTCCGTGTTTGTCCTTTTCATGCTTTTCATGTGGTTAGATGGTTTTCCTGTCTGCGGAATTTTAGTTTTTGTTTGGGGAGTCACTTGGTGTTCTCGATTGTTGAGTTAAAAGTGGTCTAAGCGGCAAGATCTGTGGAGGGTACTGATTTCAGTGAAGATGATGGTTTCGGATCAGTTAAATCATCGGTTGGTTCTGAAAGTGCAGATATTGTTGGAACAGGTGTGAAGCTGTTGGAACAGGTGTGAAGCTGTTGGAACGAAAGATCATAACGAGATTTAGTCTTTCATAATGTTATGTTACGGCCACGTTGGTCGTGGGCTATTGTTCAAGTTAAGCCCAATCTCTTGTAGAGACTTGAAGCGTGGCTTAAGTTGTCTAGGGTTTTTGGCACTTGATATAAATACCAAGAGACGGCAACATGAAGACTTGCGCGTCTAGGGTTTATCGAGAGAGGCACACATGTGTGTGTGACGTCGCCCCATCAACAAGATAGAGAGATCTTTTGATGGTTTTGTTGAGAAGCTATACTCGTCGGAAAAGACAATAGGAGTAGTAGATTTCTTTCATTGTAATTCTAGAAAAGAGTGGTGGATACCATATAGCAATTGTAGGTTGCGGCCTTTTCTAGTGAATGGTTTCTGGACTTGGTCCCGGGGATGTAGGTTAACCGAACCCCGTTAACAAATCTCTTGTGTCTCATTTACTTTATGCACAAACGAACTCGCTACACTCTCTCATCATACAAACGTATAGAACTAGCACACTTAGCAATTTCAATTGGTATCAGAGCGGGTTCTCGACAGAGATCCGTTCTCGTTTCGGGTATGGTCCTGGATGTGTGGCTAGCAGAGAGAAAGAAGAAACATGTTCATGAACGTTTAAGAAGAGAATTAATTTGGGAACGTTACGACAAGCTTCAAGCGTTTATGATTTGGGATTATCTCAGGTTCTTAGGTATGATGGATTCGAGAGTCTAAGTTTGGTGACAAAGTAACCGCCGAAAATTGCAGAGATTTAGAGGAGTGGTTGTTGATCGGAATAGTGTTGCGGAAGCATTGACGAGGAGAGGAAATTTTTTTTTGAGTTGAGTTTGTTAGAGAATCTCGGCCCAGTTCCAAATTTAATCAAATAAGGCCCATAAAAAGCCCACTCTCTTAGCGAGTATATCGAGTCTTCTGTTTAAGAGAGGTTTTCAAGCTTTCGAGTAAGACAGAAGAGCTAAGGAGTTAACTGCCCGTTGAAGAGAGAGGACAGTGTATAAGGTATAGAAGCTGTATCTCCGGTGTCAAATTGATCAATTGTTGTGGGTTATGATTCGTGTTTTGTGTTTCGGAAGAACATGGGATTGAATCAGCTCGCTCTAGTTTGATGCCACGCATGTTCGTGGGGAAGAACGTGAAACACAATGAATCTAGTCTTTCTAATTGAGTTGGATTTGTAACAGATTGGAATAAAAAGAGAGTTCGATTTCTCTTCTAGTCTTGTGAAAGATCTAAGTGAAAGAAGATATAAGGTTGTCAGCTCCGTTGGTTCCAGAGAGGATTGTTGGCAAAGAAATCGTTGTCGGTTGCTCATAGTTGCTGATCGGAATCTGGAGTGCGTCTTGGTTCTGCGTCTCTGAGGGTAAAGAGAGACGAAGATTTATGGTGTGAGGTCTTGATCTTGGCCAAGAGAAAGATACAGGCATGGTAGACATGATGGAGCAGATCCGCGAGATAAAGATGATGTTAGCAGTTCTTCATGCTTCTATCATGTTCTGCTTTGAACAATTGAAGTCTATTAGAGCTACATAGTGAAGTAGTGGTGTACGATGTCAACGGTCAACATCCGGACATTGTCAACATCATGTGTTTCAGTGAATGATGGTCTCATTATAAAGATGATGTGTAAGAATCTTCTCTGTGAGGAAAACGAGGTCATCTCAGAATTTAATCAAAGCTTCAAGGTCTTGAAAGAAGAAGAATTCATGAAGTGATCTGATATGATTATGAGATCAGAAGGCTGTCTACAAACTTACATTGAAAAGAAGAGGATTAATAAATTTTGATCTTGGAGAAAATTCTGTTTAGACTCACGTGCAGCAATCGGTGGAAAGTTCAAGCTTCTGGCACTGCAAAAAATTGGTTATGCTATTGAGGAAATTAAAAAATCGGTGAAAAGGAAGATCGTCTCTCAAGTCACAGTTAGAATCTTGTGATCTAGAAAAGCAAAGTTTCTAAAACCATGGAGGAGAAAACAAGATCCATAGTTAAGATTAGCGGTGATGGAGCTCTCCTATGATGGGATTTCTAGTTATGAAAATTGTCTCAAGTCTTGGTGGTCATTGCTGGCATTAATTTGGGCATTTGAAAAGCAAAATCAAAATCTCTTGAGTTGGAGCTCCTGATTGAGATGTCAACACATATGAGACATGGACCTCTAAAGAAAGATTCAAGAAATGAAGTGTCTTACAGTCATGAAGTTTATCGTTGGAAGCTCAATCTCTTGAGCTGATTTCTCAAATTTAAACAAGCTGCCATTAGATCATATTTTTGGTCTTCTTTAATTGGCCATTTCGGATCTTTTCTTCTATGATGACTATCAGAAAAAGAGGTTGAAATTTGAGGATTTTTGTTTAAAGTCTCCCTCGCTGCAAGCCTTGTCTGTTGCAGTTTTTATACTAACTAGAAGATAAATGTATTAAGCGGTACTGGTGATTCTCGGTTGCAGAGAAGAAAATTGGCTTCGGGTGTATATGCTTGTCGTCTCTATTGTCGACATGTTGGCTGGCTTTGGATTTAATGGTTCTTTGGAGCAGAAATTGAGTGTGTCAGATTTTGGAAGGTCAGAAGTTTGCTTCAGTTGATAAGCTTATTTGCGTATTTGCGTTTATGGAATCGAGAAGAAGGTTCATGGGAAATCTACTGGTAATGAAAGGTCTCATCAGAATACTGTAGAAGACAGTAATGAAACAAGATAACATGAAAAGTCTACAAAGGTTGGTGAGCAAGGTCGAAAGAATATTCTCATGGTTGATTCTTGGTTCTTCGTTTTCTTTGGGTATACAGACCTCGGATTTTATCTCTGAAAGATGTTCTGAAAACTTGAGAATGAGATCTTTTCAAAGATATAAAGATCATTTTCTGGTTCCGTGTGGTTTGATGGAAAATCGCTCTTAAAGTTGGCTGCTCGCAGGTTTGTATCGTTCCGGATCTGTCTTGTATAATTGATCATAACTTTCAAACCGTAAACCCAAATCGTGATCCGTTTTTTCTCGTGGCTTGGTATGACTGTTGTGGATATTTTCACCAAATTTCATAATTTTCTGGATTGATTTGCTACTCCGTTTGTGTTCTGCATGAAGACAGATCAAGAAGCGTATGTTCATGAAGATTTCGTCAAGATGGGCATTTTCCATACGCTGTGGTATACTCTGGCTTATATGTTCTAGGAACTGTTTGATGGTGTAGATCTCTAAGGTATCAGATTGTTTCAAGTTGAGGAAGGCATGGAAGGCATGAGTTGACGTCATTTTCTCAGGGTGATGAACATCAGGATCATAACGTTTTTGAGACTTTAACTCTTAGTTTCCACTGCAAATTACAATACTAAGGTGTAGATTGTGTGAAGATTCTGTCTCAGTGGAATGAACCTGATACTTGTGGATATTAAGATTGTTTCAGAGGTTGTAGCTTGTTTAACATAAGCATGGAAGAGTGAAGCGAAGAAGATCAACATTGCAACATCAAAGGAGGGAAGCGTATTTTTTTTACGGGATTGAAAAATTGCAGAAATCAGTTACGAGATAGGATCTTCGAGACAACGATTGGAGTCCTAAAAGTAATCTGATCGAGCTGAAACTTGGTAGTGAGCTTCTTGCTATTACTGTCTTGAGTGTCAACGGTGGGATTAATTTTTTGACGGTTGGATTGCGTTTTATTCGACCGTATTCAATCTGTTCCGGGCACATGTCAACTGAAGTTTCAGATCTGACCAGTTATAGTGGAGACATCAAATGGTCGACCAATTAAACTTGGAATGAAATGAAAATTTGCAAAGATATTCTAGACTTACGGAGCTAGATTCTGGTAGGAGGGCATTGGATTCGGAGTCCGAGGACAGAGTAGAATGATGGCGGTTCAGAGTAGTTATTTCGGAGACTCTAAAGCTGTGTCTTGCAAAGGTGACTTGCAAATGATTCTAGAAGAGATTGTTTCAGCTTACTGTGCCAAAGAAGTGAATTAACAAGTTACTGTAAGTCCTTGTTCGGCAGTTTACTCTTGGGAAGTCTTCAGCTTCTGTGTATTTTAGAATTATGGACAACTTGCTAGGAGTCTACTCTTTGTTAAGGCTCTAGGATTCTAGAGAAGAATTGTTGGTGAATGTGGAAATATAACAAAGGAGTTTCAGGAATCTGCAGTTTTCTTGTTTTCAAGTTGAAGATTTTTGGAATGAAGCTTATGAAGTGTCAAGAAAGAGAATCTTTCCATTATAAGTGACAGAGCACAAAATTTATGAAGCCCTCATTTGATTTAAAAGAATCACATGGCTGACGGAGTTAGGCTTTCATCATCAAAGCGATAACATGGCTTCATTGTCTGAGTTTGATCTTTCTACATACTCTGTGCTCTTTTGTGTTTGAAAAGAGGCTTGTTTGATGAAAAGAAAAGTTGTTTGCAGAAAGATGAAGAAACAAGCAGATTTCTGTTTCAGGTGGCGATAATTGATATGCATGTTTCAAAGGATGGTTTGCTGTGATTCAAAACGAAACAAGGCTAGAAAGCATGTGTGTTTTGTTGAAACATTGAGTTAGATACAACATCAGATCATTTGTCAATCAAGGATTGGTAGAGGTTATATGCTTGTCAACAAGGACAAGTTTTTGGATTCACTGCATGAGAATGGATGAGATCTTCTCACAAGGAGAAAAAGAATGTTACTCACGTTAAGACTGCCAGCGGGCAATGATTGGTTGCAAATTGGGATTTAACGATGATATGACAGAAAGTTGTTAAAACAATAGTCTCAAGAACGTCACTGGATCAGCTGGTGGGAGATAGCTGAAAGGAAAACTACCAAAAAGAGGTAGTAAGTTCTGCTTTGATTAATGGTCATGAATTCAGCATCATTCGTCTTTATCTTCTACACGAGTATGTATGCAATTTTTTGAAGGCTTCTCGTATTTTTCCGCTGCGCTGAGAAAGAATTGTATGGAAGTTTTACAGAAATGTTCTGAGTTCAGACTTGGTTCTAGAAAAGTGGCTATCCGGGAGACATGTGGTATACATCCGTTGCAAATCACATCTGTTTAAAAAAAATGGTTGAAAGAACGACAATGAAATTCACAGGTTCTTGTTTCAAGGGGGAGCCTTAGAAAGTTGAATCTATGTGCTACATGTTGTTGCAATGTATGAGTTTGAGTTTCAGTTTGCAGAACTATTGGTCTAAATGAGAATGAAGCTTGTTGGGGGAGCACGGTTTGCTGCTAATGAACTGTTGGATCATGGTAAATTTGCTTGTAATTCAAGGGTTGTGATCAAGGTCAAAAGAAATTTATCTTAGTTCAGATACACACAGAGAAGTTTCAATGAAAATAAAATGAAGCAGCTAAGTTTGACTTATGACATGAGCTTATGTGTTCGCTGGAAGAATCTGAGTTGTTTGTTTTCAAGATGTGGATTTTCTTTTTACAAACTCTATGTATTCCAAGAAGAAGCTTTGTGCACAGAGTTTTACCAACTCAATCAGGGAGAGATACTGGTTATGTATGAGTGAGATGTAAAACACAAGTGAGAAGACAGAATAGTTGAAACAGAGGTATGTAACAGAGATACTTTGATTTTTCTATGAAGGAGCATCCAAGCAGGGAGAGAAAGTGATGCAGTGGTGTAGGGGGAGTGTTATCCGCCGTGTAGTTAACTCATATGGACGATTTGAGGTAAAGACTATGTATTGGTGTTGAGTTTGGTTGTCAATTAAGCAGGTGAGATTTGCAATTGAAGAGAAACGTGAAGATATTAATCCAAGGAGCAGCTTTGGTTTGTATTGATTCCTTTGATGCTTGATTATGATGAGTAGTGCTTTAAAGCCATTGATTATGTTGCTGATAAAGACTAAGCATTATGGATGGAACTAACAAGTTAGAAAGCAAAGATTGGTAATCTACATCAGACGTGGATCTTTTTGTTTTGGAGGTTCTTGTGCTATAAGCTTTGGGAGGATGAAAATCACTGTAGACCTCAAAGGGGGAAGGCGTTTCTGATAGTGGACTATGCCCAAACAGGTATAACTAAGCTCATCCTGCACTTAATGTTTTAACAGAGTTTTATCACTCAAGCAGGGGGAGATTGAGAAAGTTCCGTGAACAGATATTAGCACGATGATATAGGATTAAGGGAGAGTTTTTATATCATGATTACTGATGGGTATGCGTGCTTAACATGGAGAGCTTGAGCTGTAAAACTCAGTCAAAAAGGGAGAGATTGAAAGTGCAGATATTGTTGGAACAGGTGTGAAGCTGTTGGAACAGGTGTGAAGCTGTTGGAACGAAAGATCATAACGAGATTTAGTCTTTCATAATGTTATGTTACGGCCACGTTGGTCGTGGGCCATTGTTCAAGTTAAGCCCAATCTCTTGTAGAGACTTGAAGCGTGGCTTAAGTTGTCTAGGGTTTTTGGCACTTGATATAATTAAATACCAAGAGACGGCAACATGAAGACTTGCGCGTCTAGGGTTTATCGAGAGAGGCACACATGTGTGTGTGACGTCGCCCCATCAACAAGATAGAGAGATCTTTTGATGGTTTTGTTGAGAAGCTATACTCGTCGGAAAAGACAATAGGAGTAGTAGTTTTCTTTCATTGTAATTCTAGAAAAGAGTGGTGGATACTATATAGCAATTGTAGGTTGCGGCCTTTTCTAGTGAATGGTTTCTGGACTTGGTCCCGGGGATGTAGGTTAACCGAACCCCGTTAACAAATCTCTTGTGTCTCATTTACTTTATGCACAAACGAACTCGCTACACTCTCTCATCATACAAACGTATAGAACTAGCACACTTAGCAATTTCAGGTTCGATTAATAAGGCCATTTTGGTTTGTTGGGTCCTTTCATAGATCATGTGCCGGTCTCGTGTTCATTCGTTTCTATCCCACAAGGATGGAGTAATTGTAGGTTCTTGTCAGCTTTCGTTCAGCCATTACCTTTCCTTTTTGTTCTAACTCTCCACCTTTATGCTAGTAGTTCCCTCTAGACTAGTTCCTTTTCTAAACAAAGGATTCATTCTATTTGAAGATGTGTTAGTTTTCTAAAGTTTACAGATGGTTCTTTTCCTTTGGATGTTTGTTGTGGTTGATAGCTGTATCGATCCTTTGTCTTTCTTGTCCTTAAGATCGTTGATAATCGAGAGGTTACTTTGCTCCTTGTATTTGCTTTCACAATCTGTTTAGGTTGGATTGTGTTTTGAAGGCTTCTACCTAGACGTTAATGGGTGTATCAGTCGTCGTAGTCACATTCGAAAGCGTGTTAGAGGTTATTGTTGTGGTCTTGCTTGCCGAGTTATGAAGTCTTTGGTTCTGGTTTCGAGAGATCGGCTTTCATTATGATAGTAGGTAGTAGATGTTATCTTTGGTTAGCCGCATGCATCATTGGTTAATCTCAGTCGCTGGTGCTCTAAAGGAGAAGTTTTTTGCTTCTTAAATCTATCGTGTTTCGGGTTTAAGCCTTATTGCCTCTATTTTTAGATTAAGGTTTCAGTGTCTTTTGATTATGGGCTGAAATTTTTTGTTTTATTTGTCATTTGTCTTTCGTTTCCCTTGTTTAGGGCTTTAATTCTAGAGAAATCTCATTTTCCTCCGGCTTTTGTATATGGGGACTTTTTCTTTGTCCACCAACTTAGCTTCCCTTGTTTGGGCGTTGTATTGTTCTTTGGTTGTACAACAAATTTCGATAATAAAATTCCAGTTGACAAAAAAAAAAATAATACTTATTTTTCCAAAATTACATATACCTAAAGAGAATAATTTTTTTTTATAAACTATTTCCTCATGTATTATTATTTTTAATTAATATATTCTAACCACACTTTTGTATAATCTCATCCGGTCATCCCATCCATTAGATATATGTTTTCTTATATTTCGGAGTGCTTTTGTTCTTAATAATACAAAATGGTCATGTGATTTAATATTTATTAATTTATATTTTTCTGAATTTAAATTTTATTACAATAATATGTTATATATTTTATTTGTAAATAGATAAATAAACTTTAGTACATATAGTATTTTATTGTAAAAAAGTTTAATTTTTTTATTTACTTATTTATCTTCAATAGTGACGTGAACTGGGGTTCTTTGATTATTTTTTCAAACCATGTCTCCCATTAAATTGAAATTTAAGTGATTTAATCAAATTTCGTTTAACCAAAAACTAGAAATTATATTTCAGAGTAGAATGAAGCAAACTATTAACATTAAACCGAAATGCCCAATCCCAATTTAAACCGTAAATTGTTTCAGCCACTCATAAACCGTGTGAACCTCTTCAATTCGTCTTCCTTGAGCAGCCATGAGACAAATCACATTCCCCTGCATCTTACGCCACCGAATCTCTATTCTTTCCGGCGCCGGCTATTATCCTACCGCCGCACGTCTCTCTTCTTTCGCCCAAACATCCACCACCACCGAGTCACAGTTACCGCCAATAACTTCTGAAGTTTTGCTCGAGTCGATAAAATCCTCTCAGTGGCATTTCATCGAACACGTTACGGACAAACTCATACCTTCCCTTGTATCAACAACTCTTCTCAGCCTCGTCAAGACTCCTGATTTAGCCTTCAATTTCGTCAACCACATCGATCTTCGTTGCCTGGACTTTCAAACACAGTGTCTAGCCATTGCTGTCGTCTCCAAGCTCTCTTCTCCGAAATCTGTTACTCAGTTGCTGAAAGAAGTCGTTAGTACTCGTAAGAACTCAGTAAGAGACCTTTTCGATGAATTGGTGCTTGCCCATGATCGATTACAGACTAAAAGCACGATCCTTTTCGACTTCATGGTCAGATTTTACTGTCAATTGAGAATGGTAGATGAAGCCATTGAGTGCTTTTACCTGATGAAGGAAAAAGGTTTTGATCCCAAAACTGAAACTTGTAATCACATTTTGAGTTTGTTATCGAGGTTGAATCGTATAGAGAACGCTTGGGTCTTCTACGCTGACATGTATAGAATGGAGATTAAGTCGAATGTTTACACGTTCAATATAATGATCAATGTATTGTGCAAGGAAGGGAAGTTGAAGAAGGCCAAGGGATTTTTAGGGATCATGGAGAGTTTTGGAATTAAGCCTACTATTGTGACTTACAACACTCTTGTTCAAGGTTATTCTTTGAGAGGACGAATCGAAGGTGCTCGTATGATTATCAGTGAAATGAAATCTAAAGGCTTTCAACCAGATTTGCAGACGTACAATCCGATTCTGTCTTGGATGTGTAATGAAGGAAGAGCCTCTGAGGTGTTGAGGGAGATGAAGGGGATTGGGTTGGTTCCGGACTCTGTGTCGTACAATATTTTGATCCGTGGTTGTAGTAACAACGGGGATTTGGAGACAGCTTTTGCTTACAGGGATGAGATGGTGAAACAAGGTATGGTGCCGACGTTTTATACTTACAACACGTTGATTCATGGTTTGTTTATGGAGAATAAGATAGAAGCTGCTGAGATATTGATTAGGGAGATTAGAGAGAAGGGTATAGTCTTGGATTCTGTCACGTACAATATAGTCATAAATGGTTATTGTCAGCATGGAGATGCAAAGAAAGCATTTGCTTTGCACGACGAAATGATGACCGATGGAATTAAGCCTACGCAGTTTACTTATACATCGCTTATTTATGTTCTGTGTAGAAGAAATAAAACGAGGGAAGCGGATGAGTTGTTTGAGAAAGTTGTAGGCAAGGGAATGAAGCCTGATCTTGTGATGATGAATACCTTGATGGATGGTCACTGTGCAACAGGCAACATGGACCGTGCATTTTCGTTGCTTAAGGAGATGGACAGGATGAATATAGATCCTGATGATGTGACATACAATTGTTTGATGCGAGGGCTCTGTGGAGAAGGGAAATTTGAGGAAGCTCGTGAGCTTATGGGGGAGATGAAAAGAAGAGGAATCAAACCTGACCACATTAGTTACAACACTCTAATAAGTGGGTATAGTAAGAAAGGGGATACAAAGCATGCTTTCATTGTTCGGGATGAGATGTTGAGTCTCGGGTTTAATCCTACCCTTCTCACGTACAATGCTCTGTTAAAGGGTTTGAGTAAAAACCAGGATGGTGAACTCGCAGAGGAGCTACTAAGGGAAATGAAAAGTGAAGGCATTGTTCCTAATGACAGCTCCTTCTGTTCTGTCATTGAAGCAATGTCAAAATCTGATAATTGATTGATACCGGCAATTGTAAGGTTTTTCAGAAACTTTATTTTTTACAATATAGTTGTTCTGTTTCTGCTTCAATCGAATTTCCAGGGATTTTGGTTCCTGACTGTAATTACGAGTGAGAGAAAGCAAATTAAAGTTTTACCGGAAACTATAAAAACACACACCATACTAAAATGGTCTTAAAGACATTAAACTACATAGATCCATCGGTTAGACAAGAAGGAAAGTTTAGATACTAACTCAAAACCAAACTAAAGTCATAACATAAAACTTAAAGACAAGACAAATACAGTCTTCTTCTTAGTAGCTTCTTCTCCAAGACACCCTCACATCCATCATCATTACTCAGTCTCCTCTTCTGGTCTCAAGACAACAAGAAGCAGCTCGTCTGGTTTGATGAGTGTAAGTTTGCAAGTAACCCCAGCAACAATAGGATACTCCTTAATCAAACATATCCATCCAGCAGAGAATGCAACTGTTGTACTCGCCAAATAAGTCACATTCCATGACCTCTTCCCATCTGGGTGATGGATCTTAAACATTGCATTTTCCTTGGGCATATGAGCCTTATCAAAAGCTGTTGGTATCGGCTGAAAAATAAAAATAAAATTGTTTAGGAACATAACACACTTTGTAGACTTTGTGTTAAGTGTCGTTGGTTAGTCTTATCATACCAGGATTCTGAGGTATGATCATCTGATGAAGATGGTGAATTCTGCCACAGAAGACGAAGAGGCACCTGCGGAATCTCCCCGAGCTTTCTTCTTTCCGAGGTTGAGGTTCCTTTTGCTTGTTCCTCCATTAGATTCAGCAGCTGTTGTCGGGCTCAACTCAGAAGACACAACCACCTCTTCCTTCTTGTCATCTTCCCTTTGTTCTGTTTTGATACCACGGCCTGTCTCATCATCAAAATTAAAGAACCAGTTTATTAGGGATAATATTATCCCACATTGGAAAGGACAAGGGATCTTAACTAGTATATAAGATATATGGGCCTCTCCACTCATAGCCAATTGGTTTTGAGTTGGAAGCCCATATTCTAATATGGTATCAGAGCCCGATCCGTACATGTCCAAATCCAATCCACCATCGGCCCGGCCCAATAATTGGCCCGCCGATCCATGCCCGAGCATACCGAGATCAAAGGCTAGAGCCATCATCTCGAGGGGGCGTATTAGGGATAATATTATCCCACATTGGAAAAGACAAGGGATCTTGATTAGTATATAAGATATATGGGCCTCTCCACTCATTGTCAATTGGTTTTGAGTTGGAAGCCCATATTCTAATACAGTTGATATCTTTATCAGGTTCACTGTTTCATAATCAGAAAAGCAAATCTTTACTTGAAGAAGCCAAGAAGGAACTGGATTGTGGAGGTTGCATCATCTCCTTCCCATCTTGCTTAAAGATGTTCAAAGTAAAGCGCATCTTTCCTTTGTGAGTGAAGGTGATAAACTCATTGTTTCCCAAGGCATTGTCTCTCACAAACTTCCCCCATCCGGACTTCTCCAAGTAGTAGAATCTCGGGTTTTTCGAGATTGCTACTTCCCAAGAGCTTCCCCATTGCGCTCTTATCTTCTGAAAGATATGAAGAGAAATGGAAAGATTCTTTTGTATTTTGATTTCCTTTCAACTTGGTTTTCGATTACAGAGGTACAATGGTTTTATAGAGATTTACATCTAAACGTAGTGTACCCTTGACTGTCATAGCTGGCTATTGACCATCACGTGGCATAGCTGTCGTCACACGATACTAAGCGTCAAAACGGTTTTGCGTTGTCACCTCCGTACCATTTGTCTGTTCTGCTAATGCTCTGTTTTAGGCTTTTGTCGCAGGTAGCCGTTGTACGGAGGTGGGCTTCTTCTCATCTTGCTTTGGTTTGGCCCTTTGTGTCTTGAGGCCTTTTTGCAGAGTGTTGTCGTTTTGCGCAATCTGGTTGATACTCCCCCTCAAACTCTGAGTCGGTGGAAAATTGACGCCTAGTTTGAATCTCAAGGATTCGAAAGGAGCTGCAGGAAGCGACTTGGTGAAAATGTCAGCTAGTTGCAGATGCGCAGGAATGTGGTTGACAATGAGTTCTCCAAAAGCAACCTGTTCACGCACATAATGGTAATGAGTAGCAAAGTGCTTTGTCCGGGCATGGAAAGATGGATTTGCGGTGAGGTAAACTGCAGACAGGTTATCGCAAAAGAGCTCAGGCGTCTTCAACTTTGGTACACCCAAATCTCTCATACGATTAACTAGCCATGTAATTTCTGAAGCAGTGTCAGACATACGCCGATATTCAGCTTCAGTGGAGCTCTTAGCAACTGTTGGTTGCTTTCTTGTTGCCCAAGAAATGATATTGTTCCCGAGAAAAGTATAGAAACCACATGTGGAACGTCTTGTTGAGTGACACCCCGCATGATCACTATCACTATACGCCCTCAATGTGCAATCCGTGTCTTTATTGAAGGATATATCCATTGTAGTGGTGCCTTTGATGTACCTTAGAATGCGTTTTAGCAGATGAAAATCTGAGAGAGTAGGAGCATGCATCTTCTGGCATACATAATTGACAGAGAACTGCAGGTCTGGCCTTGTGAGAGTCAGGTACTGTATTCTTC